TTAACTAAGAGGAGCCGAAGCTGTACTTTACCATCCTTCCATTGTCCCTAAGTGTAGATAGTGTAGTGTGTGAAAACATATGCTGCTGACCGCCACCTTCAAAGAAGAACCCGAGCTTTCCTTTTCAGTCCCCTGGAGCCTCGGTAGGGAGGCATCTGTAGCTGACCTGTTCCCTGTTCAGTGCTTCTCCGAATGGGGGAGGCTGAGAAACAGACACCAGGCAGCAAGAACCCACTGTAAGAGGAAACCAGGCTGGCACAATGATAAACCTTTAAATTTTGTCCTGGTGTTTTTCTCCTGCTCCTGGCCTAGCGCCACTCTTTGCGCCCGACCTTCTATCACTGTCAGGAACTTCTTTTTAATGCAAAAGTGGTTAACTTTTCCCTGCTGCCTTCTGTGTTTTGGCTTTATTTTACGGTCACTGTCATTTTTCATACTATGAAACCTTTCTTGGCTTCTCAAGAGAATAGTGCAGTCATCCGAAGCTCCTGTTTGTTGAATGAAAAAGGTACATTTCTTTTTTGACCTGGGAATTTTATAAACAAATGAGCCACCTGTTGAAATTTTGTTCTTACTACCATAATTTTTCATGCAAACCTGTCAGATTTTTAACAGTGTCTGAGGCATAGTGTTATGAGATAAAATACAGGATGCCCAGTTAAACTACAGGTAAACTACACATAAATTTTTTAGGATATGCCTTATTCAATATTTGAGACATTCGTATACCAAAAATTACTAGTTATTTATCTGAAATTCACATTTAACTGGAAATTCTGTATTTTTATCTGCCATATCTGGTGGTATAAGACAAGGTTGTCTTAAATTAGGTTTGCATTCGAACAAGATGTCTCAGTGGAGACCGGTTTTCACTCAGAAGAGGAATTTCCAGGGAAAGCCGTCCGTCTGGTGGACGAATGGGCCTCACACTTGAGTGGACACAGGAGACACACAGGGTGCTTGCTAGCCTGCAGGGCCTCACTCGTCCCCAGAGGCCTTTGCGCAGGGGTGGGTGGGGCCTGGGTGGTCTGGAAGCTGGTCCCACCCACCCTGTGAAATAATGGGTCGGCGTGCCTTCTTGATGCATCCTCTCAGTGGTTCTGTGATCTGATTCCAGACAGATGAGCCAATAGCAACATTTGTATTAGCAGTGCATACTAATTACATACATAGAAGGAAATAGTTTAGATGAGATGTTTTAATAACTTCAACAAACTTTGAAACGACTCTGATGTTTGCTTGAAAGAAATTGACTGAGGAATGCTTGTAAAAGAAACAAGATGGGAAATGTTCTGCTGATGAGAAGACATGTTGGCAAGTTGTAAGAGGGGAAGCTGGGGCTGTGGGCCAGGGATGGGCAGGTGGATGGAACTGATGGCAGGTAGCTGAGAGATCCACGCATGGGTAGGAACGGGGCCTTAGCCAGCCAGTCAGCATGCTTGGGGGGAGGGGCCAGTGTATTTTCTTCCCTCTCGCTATCTATCACAGTAAATGTCAGATAGATGAAAGAGAAATCAAGTCAGAAAAGAAATCAGAAGAGAACACAACTGAATGTTTTCCAATTGTCTTGTTAGAGACCAAAGATCACGTTCAAGTGTAAGATGATGAACCGAAAGGAAAAGGTCAATAAACTTGACTGCACGGAACTAAACTTTCAAGAATCCCAAATATAATGGAATCTAAGACAAACAAGGCGGGGACAACGTTTGCTACAAATACGACTAAATTTAGTTTTCTCCAGCATCAAGAGCTCATCACTGAAAAGTTAAGCAAGTCGGCATCCAGTGGACTAGGCCATCAGTAGACCCCCACTGATAGGGTGCTCCCCAAGGGCAAGCTCTGCTTTGCATTGTAAACAGACCCTCCCAGTAATCCCCAAGGGCTCCTTAACCCATTTTACAGATAAGAAGGTTGATTCAGGGAGTCCAGATACCTGGCCCCCAAGCCCTCAGCTAATGAGTGTTGGGACTATGATTTGTTCACAGACAGTCTTGATTGGAAAAGAAAAGCCCTTGTGCCCTCAGGAACTAGTCTACCTGACCTGTCAAAGGGCAATCCAAAAGAAGAACTACAAAAGCTAATGCATTTATGAAAAATATATCCAGTCTCAGTATCAAAGACCTACATATGAGAACCACAGGGTGGGGCCTCTGCTTACCTCTGAAATTGGCAAGAAGAATTTCCAGAAAAATAAACAGTCACAGCCCTGGCTGGCTTGGGTGTTATGAAACAGGCAGCTACTCCGGGTGGAAGGGTAATTGTGTGAAGAAGGGCCTGACAGTATCTTGAGTCTTAGAATAATGTGCATGACCACTGGCCTAGTCCTTCTACTTCTAGGGATCCTAGGCAAACAATCAAAACTGTAGTCTCAGTTTTATGCCCAAAGGTGTTTATTTGGTTGTTATTTCTGCCATTTGAAAGTTGTAAACAACTGCAAAGTATCTACCAGAATAGTTTAGATATAAAAAAAGATATTTATCAAGGTTTAAAAGTTACCTCTTATGATGTTCATTGTTGGGGAGGGAACAAAACACAAAATTGTGTACACAGTCTGATTTCAACAGTGTCTGGCTATGCAAAGTAAAAGTACAAAGACCACGAAAATGCTGTCATCCTGCTGTCATCCTACTTTCATAGTATTTAGGCAAACTTACTTTATATCTATTCTGGGTTAGATGTTTATACATCAATTTTTTTGCATGGATTTTTTTTTATTTTAAAGATGTGGGGTACAATTCAGGGTTAGGCACACAAATGTTGATTATGCAGGTAAGTAGCATGGATTGTTTTAAAATTCAGAAAAGAGGAAAATTTATTTTTCTTAGATGGTAAAGAGCAGACTAGGTGGGGAATGTTGACTGTAGAATTGCAGGACGTAGATGGGGTGACCAAGGTGGGGAGGCTGCTGAAGGGGGAGCTTGGGGGTACCACCTTCGCAACTTACCAGGGAGCCCCGCTCCCTCCTCAGCACCTCAGCAGGGTCCTTGAGTGCATTCCTCTTGCCTTCTTGACACCAGGCCCTCCAAACAGTCCCTCCCCTCCTTTCTAATCAAAATCTTATGTTTGCAACCTGTGTTTGTCATTAGAACATGGGCTAAATAAATGACACCATACAGCCACTCAGTGGGGTACGATAAAGTGCCAGTGGAGATTGTCAATCAAGTGGAAAGTGTCAAAAACTAGCATTAAAGCACAGCATGTAGAATATGATTATGATTCCATTTTTATCAGGATCATTGGTAGTCCCCATGTAATTCAAACAGAGCATACATGTTCTCAGATAATTCAAATGTTGCATACATGCACATAGTGGTTTTTTGTTTTTCTGAAAGAACATAGCAAAACATAATAGAGTAACCCTCTAGGTATGAGAGTAGAGAGAAGTTCATTTTAACTTAATTGTGTAGCATCTAGGTTTTCATAGTTAGCAGGTTTTACATATATGACTAAAAAAGGAAAAGAAGGTCATTTCTTCTCCAAGGGGAAAAGGGATAGAGTGAAAATGTCTCCCAATCCTTAGGACTTTGTTTTGTTTTGTTTTCTCCACTCCAGATTTTCTGGAGGAAGGTGTGAACGTGACTTTGCCTTCCCAGGGAGCAAGCATCCACCTCCTAAGTGGTAGATGTGGGTGATGGCCCTTCTGGACTCTCTCCCCCGGGCTCCCCCTGCCTCCCCCCATTGCGAGTGACCCCCAAAGCACAGCGTTGACCAGCCCTAAACCTGTTTGCTCAAAGGTCAGTGTGCATGCAGCTGAGAAGTTGGCATCCATCCCATTTCACCTGTGAGTAGGGAGGGCTCCGGGCAGACACCGCTTGCTGGGAAGTATTCAGGCAACCAAGAGCTGGTGGCAGTTCCAAGCCCTGCTGCTCTGGCACTTTGTTGATATCAGTGTACTCGTGTGAGTTTCTCAGGCAGTGTGGTGGCTGCGGTGTGGCAGGAAGGAGCATGGGCTCTGCAGCCAGGCTTTCTGCTTTTGAATCTGAGGATAGCTGCACCCCACTGAGTGAGGGTGGGCACGGGATGACTCACCTTCCTGTGCCGCAGTTGTCCTGTGTGATGGGAGCCCAGCCTGGCAGAGGACTCTGGGTGCTTGTTGGTGTGGCTGGCACCCTGCATGCCAGCTGTGTCTCACGCCACATTTGTAGCCTGCAAGTTGCTTTTGCATGAACAGAAATGAGGCTGCTGAAGTCAACCGTGATGTCTGTGACAAACATATATCTTCATAGTAAGTTTTGGGGCAGAGCTTGTACTTTGGGCACAATTCAAAATTACAGAGGTCATGCATATTCATTATGAAGATTTCAAATATTTCTTAAATCTGTCAGAGAATGCTGACATCGCCCCACTCCAAGTTAATCACTACTAACATTTATAAGCACATAAATATTAACAAGCACCTTTTCTTTCCCGACATTTTAATGTATCTTTCATTGGCTTATGTTCCCATGCAGGTGTTTTTCTAGACTTGTGGGCTTGGAATCATAATATTGCTGTTTTAAGTTTTGCCTAAAAATTGTGCTTTCACACCCATGACCAAAAAATGCCACTGAGCTCCTTATGCTTTGTGGAGGGAAACGTTTATAAAAACACGCTCTGGATGTTTTTGTCCCAGGTGACAGAAAGCCCAGCGCTTGATTATTGTAATTGTTACAGAAAATGCATGTGCTCTATGGGATGTTAATTATTTATAGTCATTGCCTAAGTCGAGCAGTTGGCAATAAATCATTTTGAATTGTTATTCAGGGAAAGCTATTTAAGCCAAAAAAACAAGAGTAACTTTTCTCCTGACTCCCACATTAAACTGCTTGCACCTTTGCACGACTAACTTCCCTCATTTATGCAGCACATTTTCAACAGCTGTCACTGAAAACTAAACAAGTAAATACATGGAAAGGAAGTAAGGATTGGAAGAAGAAAGAAAATGCCGGGATGCTGGCTGTTGGGAAACATGAGATGCTTCTTTTGAACTCATGGCCATTCTGCTGTGGTCTTTCTTGTAGGACAAGGTGGAGCAGACACCCCACAATCAGCCAGACCTGGCAGGACCTGGGTTCCCAGCACAGTCTGACCGACTTGCAAGTCACCAAGGTAAGGAAGGAGCAAAACACAGGGATACTACTAACTACATCTTTGCATCAATGCCAGGACCAAATGTCCTTAAAAGCTGCTCTTGACATTAACAGAATAAGATTCTAATGTCAGCTCTTCTTTTCTCCTTAAAGAAAGTGAATTCTAAAATAGAGAAAATTACTTGGTTCTGATACCTTCATGTATTTCCATTTTAATTAACAGACTTTGGTGAGCAGAACTATTTCATGTGTATTACCTGGGTTTCTACTTAGAGGACTTGGTGTTGTCTGTTGAGGGCTCCTCCATGGTGAAATCCTTGATTTTGGCATTTTTTTATTTTCAACTAAGCTGGTTTGGGGTGTATGTACTCTTGCTATTTCTCTACCTTCCTCTAATTTATTTTGTTCCTTCTATTTAATTTCTGGCAAGGTCATTGTGGAAAAGAAAAAAAAGGACAAAATGGAGGCAAGGGTTATTTAGTGAATTAGATTTGATAAATGGCAACTTGACATTGGATGGGGAGTGTGATGATGAAATGGAACCGCAAAAGTGCATGTATTGTTTGGGTGCTGGAGAGTGTAAATACAGTAAATTATATTGTTCAGAACTGGCAGGAGTTAGAATGATCCGATTTTTGAATTGCTTAATGAAAAAGAGGATGACAGCACAAGTAAAACTTGAGATCTGACTATGAAGTCAAAGAGGTATTTTCTCAAGTATTACAGAATTAATAAAAGCAGTCAGTATTTCTGTGGCAAGCATAATTGTAAGGTCATCTTTTAGAAAATTTTCAAATGACATAATACTAATTATGGAGGAAAGAGGGTAGCAATTTGTTGGTGTTGGCTTTGCAACTTCAGAAAATTTTAACTTGTTACATTGTATTGCTTACAAATGATCTCATATAAACTGCAATAACTTTGTCTTGGTATTAATGTTCATGTAACAATACTTTAACCGTAAAATTAGAAAACAATTACACCAGAATAACTTTTTCTCTTGTCTTTTAGTTGTACACTCAAGTATCCCATAAACATCAAACCCACCCAGGTAGTGCATTAAGGGAAATTTGCAGCGCAGAATGCAGGCTTCACATGGAAGAGAGCTGCTTCTCTTATTTGGTGTGGAGTTACACAGCAGACAGTTGAAGCAGGGCCCTTGAAGCAGGACTTGATGCATAAATGCATCTCTATAGTGAACCCTCCTTCTCAGTGACCCAGAGAGTTTACACCTTCAAGCACACCTGTGACATTAGCCACTTCTCCACCATTCTACACACATAGCATAGCATGTGTGTAGAATTGGCCACCTGGGCTGCTGGTTCTGGTCTAAGGGAACAGTCAGGGCTGAGGTTGTCCTTCTCCGGCAGCAATGTGGGGAGGAGGGCTAGAACCACACCCACTGTCTCCAGTCGGAAGTGGGAGTGGGGTTCCCTGCTATGGAAAGATTCTGGAAAAAGGCTGTTGCCTGAGAAGGACTGCAGTGCACATGAACTCCTGGCCAGGCATCCAGGCAGAGCCATCACAGCCCTGCAGCCAGAGCTATACCAAGCGGCCTCATCATTCGACCTCCGTAGGTTGCAGTCTCCCATGAGGCAGCAGCCCCAGACTGCCCTGACTTGCCTGCTCAACAGGGAGGGCTAGGCAAGAAAAGAAAAACAAAAATGATTCGGCAAATCAGCATTCCAACACAAAGGAAGCAGTTTCATGCTCAGAAATATAGCACAGTTAGCAAAATCAACATATTACCAGTATAGCCCATATGCAATAAATAGAAGTTGAGGCTTTGAAATAGTTGTACTGATAATGTTCAGATGCATGAAAGAGTAATATCTGTAAAACAAGGCAAGAAACCATGAAGCCCAGCAGGAGGAAATGAAACAATAAGAGGTAGGTGTGAAAAAGGGTTCAGTAAAAATGTTGGCAGTGAAATGTGTATCTATTGACACTTCTAAAAATGTGAGGCTCTGTCTAAAGGGAATTAAAGAGCTAGAAGCGAACCCCGAGAGAGTTAGCTCTCTGGAAAGACTTGGAAGGCTGGCAGGCAGTTAGACACAGGTCCTTCAGTCTCCAGAGCAGTATCAGAGAGTGGTGATAGAGGGAAGCAGAGAGATAATAGAGAAGACTGGCCAGCATTCAAGGCGGACGCAATCCTCCAGGTACTCAGACAACTAACAAGAAAAATAAAGACTAATCCACATCTAGAAATGCTTAGCACCATTCCAGAAAAAGGAAGACGAAGAGGGGATCTTCGGGGAAGAAACCAGTTTCCTTTCACAGGAACGGCCTTCAGACCGATACAGACCTGGGCACAAGACATGCCAGAAGACAATGCCATGTACTTCTAAGTGCTGAGGGAGAAATAACCATCCGTCTGGAATTTCATCAGCATGTCACTGACTAGTGAAGGCCAAATAAAGCATTTTCAGACAAGGGTTGAGAAAATGTGGCCCTGGCAGTCCTCACTGAAATGATCATTACAAGTAGAACTTTGGGAAAAAGGAATGTGATACTGAGGGAAACATGGCATCTATGGGAGATATCAGTACGATGCTGTGAGTGCAGTTCCATATGGATTGTTCAAATCAGGTTAAATCAAAACTCCAGAAAGTAGGATGTTGGGAATGTGAGTGGTATCTTTTGGGGTGGGGTTATAGCATCACAAGGCCCCAGTTAGGAGAAGTAAAATGTAACATAACTCGAGATCACATTAGGAAAAACATATGCTTAAGTGTACATTTCAAAATATTAGATGTAACTAAAATATTAACTGTATTTACTAAAGGAATATGTATATAATCTGTAGTTTCTAACCTAGCAGAAAACGTTATAAGGTAATATGTGCTAAAACCAGCAACAGCAATTGAACAACATCAAGTAGAAAAGGAAGAAAAGATAAGATGCAAAGGAAAAAAGGATATCAAATGGAAAATACAAAATAAGGTGGTAGGAGGGCTCAAATAAATAGATACATATAGACCCCATCACTCAACAAAGGCTGTTGATTCTTTTCTGAAGCCTGTATAACTTTTTGAAAAGTTGACTATATAGGAAAAGTTGCACTAAATTTTTAAGCAATCTATTTCACGCAAGCCACGTTCTTTGACCCAGTGTGAATAAATCAGGCGTCTACTTCAAAAGTTGAAAACAAAACACATAAACATGTGTGTGGAAACTTTAAAACATGCCCTTATTTTACTTGTGAGTTAAAGAGGAAATAGCATTGGAAGCACCAATCATTTAGAACTCAATGAAAATGAATTTACTACAGGTTAAAAGTTGTGTAATACTTCAAAAGTGCCTTATAAAGTTAAGATTCTAAGTTTAGGAAAGGGAGAAATATTAAGGTTAGAAAAATGGAAATTGAATAAGTCTAAGGAATGTGGAAGTAATTACAAAAATTAAAATTAGAAATTATTGAAATGAAGAAGGTATCAATAGATAGGAACAAAATCAAACACTAATCTTTTGTAAAAACAGTCAAAACAGCAAACCCCTTGCACAGGCACTCAGGAGGAAAAAGGGTACACAGAAAAACCACAGTAAGAGCACATTAGAAAGTTTTAAAAACAACAAGAAAACTGCAATCCATAAAATGTGAAAATCTGGGGAAATGGATGATTTATTGTAAACATGTAAAAATACAATAGATTCTTGAAGAAATAGGAAATTGCAATGGCAGAATAACTGAAAGAAAGTCAGTGCTCAATACTACCCCATCAAAAAATACGTACGTAGTTTGCAGATGAGTGTTATGCAACTTCAGGGAACAAATAATTTCTCTTTTTATACAACCTGTTAAAGAGATAGAGGACAAGAGTTCTCCCATTCATATGCTGTACGTGTAGCTTTGAAACAAACAGCATAAGAAATCAGAATTATAGGTCCGTTTCTCAAGTTAATGTAAGCAAAGAAAGTCTAAGTAAAACACTAAAGAATCAAATTCAGCAGCTTATCTTAAATGAAATATAAAACAAACAAACGTTATGACCAAGTTAGATTTATTATAATAATGCAAGGATGGTTTGTCATCATAACACTGAACACATTCAACATGTCAAAAGACCAAAGAAAAAAAGATTATCTCGCTAGACAGAAAAATATCATTTAATATAATTCTCCACTTATTATAAGACATAACAAAAACACCAAAACTCTTACCAATCTGATACTGAAAAGAAATGAAACTTATTTGTCAAAAACCTACAGTATGTATTATATGGAGAAATATTAAGAGTTATGCCCATGAAAATCCAGAATCAGACAAGATTGCCCACTCTCACAAGAAATCTTAGCTAGCCTAACAAAACAAACAAATGAAGAAATAAAAATATAAACATTGGAAGGGAAGAAATGAAATATATTTACAAATCATGTGATTATCCAAATAGAAAATCTACACAGTTGTACAAACTTTTGAAATGAGTAAGAGTTCTTCCACAAGATAGCAGAAATAAAATGTAATTGTATTCTTGCCCACCAAGAAAAAACAATCAGGAAATATAATGCAAACGAAATCCCATTTATATAATAGTAACAAAAGTTTAAAATTATCTAGGAGCAAATTCCACCAGATTGCTTAGACCCAGGATGTTGTTAAAGAATGTAAAAATAGCCTGTATTAGTGGACAACTGTGCTATGAGCACTGATCGGAAAATGTAATACAGTGACGATGACACATTTTCCAAAATTTATCTTTAAATTTAATGCAGGTTTCCATCAATTTCCTAGGAGAATTTTGGTGTGTCTTGACAATTGGTTTCTAACTTTAATAAGAAAGAATAAAACTCGATAGCCAACCGGGCTCGGTGGCTCAGCCTGTAATCCCGTGCCTTTGGGAGGTTGAGATGAGTGGATTGCCTGAGCCCGCGGGTTCGAGACCCGCCTGGGCAACTTGGCGAGACCTCATCTCTACAATAAATCAAAAATCAGCTGGACGTGGTAGCGCGCGCCTGTAGTTCCAGCTACTTGGAAGGCTGAGGTGGAAGGATCGCCAGAACCCAGCAAGTCGAGGCTGC